ATGTTGATATGATATTGGTATGGAAGACCCTGGGGGGGTTCCCGAGGCAGTTGGATATAAGACCATGTGGGGGTTCCCATGGCTTTTCGAGTTAAGACCATGTGGGGGTTCCCATGGTAGTGGGCTAAGACCACGTAGGGGTTCCAGTGACACTCGATGTAAGACCTTGGAGGGTTTCCAAGGCATCCTTATATGTTTGCATGTTTAGCTTATATGTTTGAATGTATGGTTTGATTGGTAGCTGGTAAAGACCATGCGGGGGTTCCCATGGCAGTAGGCTAAGACCAATAGGGGGTTCCTATGGCACCTGGAGTAAGACCTTGGAGGGTTTCCATGGCTTCCCTATATGTGTATATGCATGGCATGTGTAGTTGATATGAATTATGTGATTATGTGTATAAGACCTTGGAGGGTTTCCATGACATCTTTATATGTGTATATGCATGGTTATGCGATTGATATGTTTTATGTGATTACGTGGGGTATGCTCTGGGGAACTCACTAAGCTTCGTTCTTACAATTTTGTTTATGGTTTTAGGTATCATTGTTTTGGAAAGGAAGGGCTCAGCTTGATCGCAGCACATACACCCGTGTATTCCGCATTATGTGATTTTGGGATAAACTCTGATAAATGTTTTGAATTAGCAATATTTTTGGAATACGTGGATTAAAAGATATCTGTGTTTTGGCTATAATAAAAATGAAATTTTTACCCTTGATTTTTGGGTCGTTATATCTCTGGCCACCATTGTTACCGTCAATGGCAGCATCGCTGCCTTCGTTCCTTTCTATCCCAGACAGGAGCAGCATAACAGCTGCCTTCGATCATTTTTCCTTCACTCGATCTTTATCTCTCTTGCCTCATTCTATCGTTTGTCCCTATTTTCTTTCCATCTTCGATCTATCAACAAAAAGGAGGGGAGAAAGAAAGGTTTGGAGGTAGGCTATGATGCAGGAAAAGACACGATAGAGGGATAGGGTACAATAGGGGGTGGTTGGACTTGGACTATTGTTGCAAGTTGAAAATATTTTGGACGATATGAACATATTTTTTTTTGCAAACCATGGAGATCAAATTTGCAATTTAGTAAACATAAAATAAAATATAAAGTTATCTATGAGTTTACAAAGCAAAATATAAATAATATATAATATAGTTGATGTAAGCGTATAAAGTAATTAAAAAATAAAATTGAATCAAACAATTTCGGTTTGTAAACTCATAGATAACTTTATATTTTAGAGTGATAAATTTGAAATGAAGAATCAATAGGTTGATAAGTAACATCACATTAATTAAGAGATCTAATAAGATGATACATGATAAAAGAAAATAAAATATTCTTTTATTAGAATAATAAGATAAGACTATTAAATGGATTAAATAATAGTTATGATAAAATAAAAGATAGACAAAATGGTTAACGTTATAAGTTGTGTTATGATGTCAATGAACCACCAGATGTTCTATTGACCTTCATAAATATAGGAAAAACAGGAATCGTAAGATTACATTATATGAGAAAAAACGTAATATAAAAATGTTGGTGGATCACTTTATTAGATGCTAAAATGACAAAGACAATTTTGACGTTTGATTCTTTGAAGAATGGATGAATCTTTCACACAAAATCGTCTTTAGAAAAATGGATGTTGTGTGGATATCATCATCCTATAAAGACTCCTTTTTGGTTTTTAAATGCCTTTGGATTATGCTCATTCCCATCTTGTTCATTGGGTATCTCAAACATTCGTCACAAGCCTCTAAAATCTCGTCGTTTACAAATATTTACGTTTTTTTTTTCTTTCGATGTATCTTTTTTTTGTTTTTTTGTTTTTTTTTTATATCACAAGGAGAAAGATGAATATAAAATGAAAACGAAGGTTTATGGTTATGACTGAGGACAACTGATATGCTACCAAGGGTAAGTCTACATAGTTATAAAGGATCACCATGACACCCCTAAATCTCAAATTTTATTTACAAGATATAACATAAATTCCATGGGACACCTATTAGGAAAAAGTAAGGACATCCTTCGATATAGTAACACAAAAGAATAAATAATACAATATTTTGATCTACCACATTTGTCATCGTAATTTCTTATTAATCTTTAAAACTTATAAAAAAAATCAAGAGCATAAATTTAGGAGTTGGTTATAGTTTTAGACTACTGCTTGTCGTCTCCGGCCACTTGTTCTTCGCCACTCATACCGGACACCATCTCCAGTGGCGAGTATAGAATAGAAAACCACGTGGTTCTTTAACTAAGTTCAATCATGTCGATTCAAGAGAAAATTAGGTTCAATCGGTTCGGTTCAACCAGAAAATAACTAGTTTAACATATTAAAAATTGGTGTTGAAAGGACCAAACTCAAATCGATCTTTCTTTTAATTTTTTTTAACTAAAACAAGCTTATACTTGAAGTAAATCAGTCAAAAACATGCCTAAACAAATTTTTGGTGTGGAAATATGAAAGAAAAAACATCTATTTATAAAGGAAAACCGTTTATCATTTTGTTTTTGGAATTGGTGGAAGATTTTTTCATGCCACTGAATATGATATTTTTTATATGGTGTATAGTTTATGTTTTTTTTTTCTTTTTTTTTTCTTTTTTTCAAACACATTTAGGTATATCATACAAAATATTTAAGGTAGGTCCTAAATAGATTTCATATATAATTTATTGAAAAAGAAAAAATTGACCCAACTTGGAACACAATAGCATGCATCTCCACCTTCATCCGACCGGAATTGACCATCTATCGCCGGCACTGCAACCAGAAACATGTGCTGCTTTTCATCCATTCAAATTTTATTTGGATAAATAGTTCATTTCTTTCTTTTAGGACTTGAGGTTAAATTTCTTGTAGCAGTCGATATGGAATGAAAGCAATTAAAGAAAAAACATAATCTACCTACGAACTAAAAGAGTCATAGTCTAAACATATCATTACTTTTGTGATCATATGTGAGGTATCAATGTCTCTTATTGCTATATATGTATAATAAACAATTATAATTATCAATTTAATTTACTTCATTAAAATTGTAATAAATAATACTTCTAACGTATATAACATAATAAAGCTTAAACGAAACAAAAAGGACACTCTTCTTATTAGGTATAATAAACAATTATGATTATTATTTTAATATATTTTTAATTGATTTTTTATATATATTATTTGTTTAGATGTTTTATTTATATTATAGATATATAGTCATATAGTATAGACGTATTTGTTTTTGATGATTTATATAGATTTGTAATTATTTATTTTATTATTTTTGGCATAATGCTAACAATTTATATAAAAAAAAGGTGAAAGAAGCTTTTTATCATATGATCATGATACCAACAACAAAACCATAAACAACAAACACCTTTATCAAAGTATATTGACAAACCGACCCAATAACCAAAATTTTCGATCCATTTATTTTATCATTTTATTTAAATGGGACACACATGGGTTTTAATTCTAAAATTGCTGCAACTATGGTATATGGATGATGGAAAGGGTTTGTAGAGTGTTGAAGAAATGCGATTAAATGGACAACATAAAACAATATTGGTGGCCTCGTATTTACCTGAAATATCAACTCTATTATTTAGTTTTTTTTATTTATTTATTTATTTATTTATTTTATTTTATTTTATTTTATTTATTTATTTATTTATTTTCTTTTTTAATATTTTAGTCTATCTTTTGAAATTTTCATTTGATTCGTTTATATGGTTCCTAAAAGTTGTATATGTGGTTCATGTTTGTGAAACTAACTACGTCTAATGAGCTCCGTTAGCTGCCTTAAAAAAAGACAAAAATGCAAAACTGATTCCTGTGGTTTGTCATTTTTTGTGTATATTGTCCAAACCTTTTAATAATTGGATTTCTGGTCCTTATTGAAAGGTTTGTTTGTGGAACAAGTCTCTGGGGTTAACAACCGTTTGTTTGTGGCTGTTAAACCCCTTACGTGCATTGCACACGAGGGCATAAATGTCTTTTTAAGTGAGGGACCATTTTTACAATTCCTGAAATAATATATAAAGACTTCCCTAACGTTCAAGTTCTTCCCCAAACGTTGTTCTGCAACTTTCAAGTTGTTCTTCATTCTCTCGTTCCCCTTTGTTAACGGTCGTCTTGTCAGTTAATCACACGATGGTTCTCTGTTTTTATGGTAAGTTTGTTGTTGTTAAATGCTCATGGACACCGACGAACCCAGGAAGACGTTTCTATGCTTGCCCTCAAAAGGTAAAGAAATTCGTTTGCACCCATTTTGATTTGTAATCAAATAACATTTGTGTCAACATCAATCTTGATAGTTGTGTCAACAGTGGTTGCTTGCAAATCAAGGATATAGTCCCTCAAGATCTCATATTGTTTCGTATAGTCACGCTCCACGATCTTAGTTGCAATAGCCTTGGCCCTGAATACTTTGTCAATAGAAACACCAACCTCGAAGTCCTTTTGAAGTTGTTCTTGCAATGCTCGAAGAGGAATCCCTGGATTCGTGTCGATTCGTTCCATGATTCGCTTAGATATAAAAGTAGCAGTGCAAGCTCTAATCTTCCTACTTTGAAGGCAAGTATGGTTGTCATTTAATGTCCTTACAAGCCAGGGAGATTCTGTGTTTGACCTAGAAGCATGAATGAACCAACTACAGTTTACTTTTTCTGAATTTACCTCTTTACCCTTGCTTTTATTTTTGGTATTAAGGCCCACCACCCCACTTGCATTGATGACAGGGACTACACCTCTACACAATGCCCGAAGTCTAAGCTTGTCATTCTTTTTATAATATAAATTCCTCCTAGTATCTAATGCGTGCATGTCAATTTTTTCTTTCAATTCTTTCTTTGATTTAAACTTTTACCCAACATAAAAACTGGCCTTATGGACATTGCCAAGACTGCATCTTTTCTCCTTAGCCAAATTTTTAAGAACACATATTCTTTTCCTTTCATCTTCTGACCCTTCATCTAAAGAATCCTATATATCATTGTCAATGACTTCTATGTCCTCATGTTCATCATTTGTCCCAACCCCGTTATGAAACCCATCCATTCGAACACAACCATAATCCTTATCAAGATTGAGGTTAAAGTCAGTCATATCCACCTCCACTTCTGATACATTGTTTTCATCATCAACAAGTTCATCATATTGTTCTTCTGATTGTTGCCCAAGATCATCACTGTCAGTAGACTTTTCATGTTCAGACTGATGGTCTTCAACATTCTCATCTTCTGGTGGTTGATAATGTTCTCCATCAAAAGGATCAAAGTGATCATGAAAAAAGTTCTCATAATCAAAGTTATCATGGTCACCACCTTGATCTTGTACCACATCATCCATGTTAGCATGCTCAACATCTTGATCTTGTACTACATCATCCATGTTAGCATGCTCACCAGCTTGATCTTGTACCACATCATCTAATTTAGGATTCTCACCACCTTGATCTTGTACAACATCATCCAATTTAGCATGATCACCACCTTGATCTTCTACTACATCATCCAATTCAACTAAACAAAGCTTTTTGGCACAAGAACTTTGACCAACTATTGAGTTCACCCTTCCATTTCTTCTATACTGTGGTGAAACTTGTGTATGGACTTTGTCAAAGAGTATCAAGGACATATACCTTGCCAACTGTGTTTGATCATTAGCTTAATCTATTATTGGGGTTTTATCCTTTGTTGGTACTTGAGGTACATTTGCTTCTTTTGGAAGATCACCATCACAGAGCTCCTTAATAATAACTTTTTGCTTTCCTTTTGGAGACATAAAATAGGTTAGCAAGTTAGTTTGTCCATGTTCTGTATACAATTCAATGACCTTGTTATCTCTAATATATTGAGCCAAATTCAAGACATCATTATCATTCCCTAAAGCTCTAAGACCAAAATCCAAGTCTTCATGAGGAATCCTAAAATGGTAATATATTACTGGGGGTACAGAGTAACCTAGCTTTAGCATCATTGCGTCTAGTTCATGGACTGAGAACTCATCAATGTCTAATAAATCAATATATCGCACTTCACCTTTAACATATCTCGTGTTTGGAAGCTTCATAAAATTTCCACCATGGTGTAGCTTTATGGTGAACATTGTTGGTACACGCTTTACAAGATACAAAAAACATTAAGTAAGAAATTATCAGATGTTTGTATTTTTGGCTCTGCTCTTAAGAACATCAAGAAACCCAACAAAATTTTGTAAACAGAGTATAGTGAAACTAACCATATTCATTTGTGATGTTATACGTCTCGCCTTTTGGCCTAATCGCCCACATTACGAACACCATTTACAATTGAAAAGCAAAAACAAGTAAATACCTTGGACCAAATCTTGATTAGGGTTTTTTGCGTTCAAAACGAATGACGAAGAAGATGGAAGTGGAAGAGATAACTAAATATTTTGTGATTTTGTGTGTAATATGGCACTAAGACGGTAACAAGTGGGTTTATTTCAGGAATTGTAAAAATGGTCTCTCACGTAAAAAGACATTTATGACCTCGTGTGCAATGCATGTGAGGGGTTTAAAAGTCACAAACAAACGGCTTTTAACCCCAAGGACTTGTTCCACCAACAAACCTTTCAATAAGGACCAAAAATCGAATTTTTAAAAGGTTTGGACCATATCCACAAAATGACAAACCACAGGGACCATTTTTTCATTTTTGTCTTAAAATAATATGTTTCTCTTGATTTTTTTCTCATTTTTTTATTATATTTATATTAATTATAAAATAAAAGACCTTCCATAACAATAGCCCACCCAACCTCACTTTACCCCACCATTACCACCAATAATCACCACGACTACCTCACCATCATCACCATCGAGTACTATTACATCACCCCACAACCACCACAAATCACCATCCTTACCACCACCATCATCAATCACCCATATTACCGATCATCGCCACCGCAACCTAAAAGTTTCATGCACGACCACGACCATCACCACCTTCAAATATTTAACCTAAAACCAAAACTAAATTTGAGTATGTAACTTCAAATCAAAGGAAATTTAAATCTATAAATCTATTGCTAAAAAATCACGCCATAAACGTTTGATACCAAAGTTAACACTAACCATAAATCATAGTGTGAAGAAATACGAGGAAAGAGTGGCCGGGGTGATGACAAATGTAACGAAGCCTAGGTTGTTCACTATTTGGATAAAACAGAATAGTTCAATTGGACAATTTAGATTGAATTATTTTGTTTGGATATTCAAATTTTTAGATTGGTTTTTAACAAAATCGAATTTTTATTTTGGATTAGTTTTGATTTATAAAATAAGAACCGAATAGTCCAAAAAGACGAATAACAGTTTATTATTATTATTTTTTAATATATCTATAATTATTTATTGATTTTATAATTTTTTGTCAAGTAAGTTCAAAAAGTTTCACCTAATAAAAAACATTAGTTTACATATTTTCTTAAAAGTTTATTATCTATTAAATATTAAACTATAATATACTTTCTCAATAGTTGTTTATAAATTTTAAATCACAACTAAATAACTTTTTTTTTTTTTTTTGTAAAAGTTGGATAATATTATAATTATATGTCATTTTAAAATGTTTTTTGTTTTTGAAAACTAAATTATAAAAACCGATCAAACAAATTGTAATTGGATCAGATTAGATTGAATTTGAATCTAGTTTGGATTATTCTAGTCTATATTTTAAAAACTAAAATTAATTTAAATTACTTAATTGGATCATATCAAATCGATCCATCCAAACGAACACCCCTAATGACACCATTAGAGGAGGGATTGATCGTGGAGATGGCTTTAGTCTCTAGAAGATCTTGAAGTTGAAGGAGGAAAGATATTGTCGGGGGAAATGAGAGAGTATGATGATTGCATATTTTCAAAATTGCAAAAATAGGATTAAACTTATAGATAGACTAGGCGAACGCCCTCGCGTTGTGCAAAAACACCTATATAGTTGAAGTCATTACAAATATATGGTTATTTTTTAAATATAACAATAACATTATGTTAAATTTGATATAATAATTTGTATACTAAATTGATATAATATATGGATTATTTTGAATTATATGAACTTCATAATCTCAATCGTTTTAATGATTTCTACCCGCAAGTTAGACATGAATAAAATTAAATATAATATATGGTTTAATAATTTTTTATAATTGTGGTAAATTATTTTTTTTTAAAATTTATTTGATTAATATTTTAATTTCTATCATTATAATTATTTAAAACATCAAACATTATTTTTATATAAAATTATTTTTAACTATTATTATTATAAGTTATTTTAAGCTACTTATTTGGAAACTTTTAACGATTATAAAAATATCTTTAGGAAATATTTTAGTTAAATTGAGATTACAATTTAGTTTTTTTCATTTATCACTACAATTTATCACTTTTAGCTATTTTCAAAATATTCTTTGATTTTTTATCTTGAACTGAAATTTATATTTAAGGTGTCATTGGAATGTGCAGAAACATCTATATAGTTGAAGTTTTTATAAATATATGTTTTTTTTTAAATATAACAATAACGTTGTTGTTAAATTTGATATAGTAATTCGTATATTAAGTGAATATAATATATTGATTATTTTGAATTATACGATAATATATACATCTATTAGAACTTCATAATCTCAATCGTTTGAATGAGTTTTACATGCGAGTTACACATGAATAAAATTAAATATAATATATGATTTAATGTTATTTATGGTTGTTGTTATTGTTAATTAATTTTTCAAAATTTATTCGCTTAATGTTTTAATTTCTATCATTACAATTATTTAAAACATCAAATATTATCTTTTGATTTTAAAGGTAACAATATAATGATTTATATTGAGTTATTTTTAACTATTATTATTCTAAGTTATTTTAAGCTACTTATTTGAAATTTTTAACGATTATAAAAATATCTTTAGGAAATATTTTAGTTATATTGAGATTACAATTTTTTCTTTTTTTTTTTCTTTTTTTTTTGGCATTTATCACTACAAATTATTACTTTTAACTATTTACAAAATCTTCTTTGGTTTTTTAAGTGTAACTGGAATTTAAATTTAAGTTGATATTGTGTTAACAATATAAGTATTTTGTCAAAACTGTTCAAAAGTTATAGATTTAAACTGATAATGGTTCACATATAACAACATATTAAATCTAATAAATTAAGTATAATATGTTAAAAGTTAAATACATAACTTTATAAGCAGAAGTAAATATATTAGTTTAAAACTGAAATTTAGTTTATTTATTATTAAAATTTAGGTTTGATATTTATTTAACATTATTAACCATCTTATAATCATTATTAGAAAGAAACTAGAATTTATCACTTTTAACTATTTACAGAACAATCTTTAGGTTGTTTAAGTTAAACTAAAATTTATATTTAAGTTGACCCTATCAGTTTATATTTAAATTAATAATTTAAGTAATTTATACAAATTGTTCCAAATTTGTATCTTTAAAATGATAATGGTTTGCATCCAACAATATATTATTACTAATAAATTAAATATAACATGTTAAAAGTTAAAAAAACATAAATTTATAAGTAGAAGTAAATATATTATTTTAATATTGAAATTTAGTTTATATATGATTACACTTTATGTTTGATATTTATTTAACCTAATTAACAAATTATAATTATTATTAGAAAGAAATTGAAAAGTCATAAGAGTTTCAAATGAATGTGGTGAAAGGAAAAATGATTTCTTTATAAGTATATGATGATAATGATAATGATAATGATATAAACCACAAGGACCAAAAGTCCTCTAAAATTAAGGTTTATATATATTTTTAGTTTTTTAAATTCTATTAACTATTCATAAAGATAAGCTTTTCCAGTTTATATACGACATATATTAAGATCCCCAGTAAATGCAATAAACAATTAATTACGTCTAAAGTTTGTAACCAAGAGTAAACATGTTTCAATAGGGTCTAGAGACAGACGCATCAATTAATAGTAGGTTTGGGAAAAAAAAGAATCTAATCAAACATAATATAAAACTGAAAAATAATTAATTACGTCTAATACAAAAAAAAAATGATTCATTAAATAAAAAGTTAAAACATAACAACGATCTATTACAAATTAAATTTGTCCTCTTCGTGCAAACATCTTTTGAAACCGTTCTATTACTTTTTCATTTGTAACTTTCACAATTGTTTCAGTCACAACATTGCAAAGCAACGCGTCATGCAAAAAGTCATCAACAATTTTGTTTCACACGTCGGTCTTCAAGAGTTCTATATTCGAAAAACATATTTCTACACTTGTGGTCGCTACGGGTAAAATTAAAGTCAACTTTAAAACCTTATAAACCAAAGGATAAGATCGATGTTTCCCTGTACTAACCATCAAATGAGAAATCTAGGAAATTCCTTTCAAAGTATTAACATTCATCTATGATGCAAGAGTGATAAAATATCTCAAGTTATCCTTCAAAATTATCAAATCTGAATCATCAAAGTGATACTTGTACAACTTAACCGATTTCAACAACTTTGACTTGTCAAATTATACAACTGAATCACAATGGCTCAAAGCACCCATGTATTATAGTAGCTGGGTGCTTGTTTCGCTAAATCGATCCCGATATTCTGTAAGTTGCATATCCACCACAGCGTTGAAGTTTTCAACCTCAAAATGAAATCTATTAGTCTTTGTGGTCATGCGGTCCAGACATGCTGAAGGCCCGATGAGGCGGGCTGTTCTCTGGGCCTTCAGCCTGATTGGTCCACCTCAGAGGCCTTCAGTCTATCCCGGCCGCCCTGGGTTTGTTAGCCTTCAACATAAAGCATGTCCGCCTCAACCCAACTACACATACAACCATGTCGACATATACATAACAAATAAGCATACATATAATGTACTGATATAAACATTATCAGGTTTGTTGATTAGCAGCATAAAGCAGTACAATCTCAACCCAACCATAGTGCATCAACACATGCTACTGGAAAACATATAGCCAGAACAGATAACAAACATATCGAACAGATCACTAAGCATAGCATCATCCTAATTACTAGGATACAGATCTAACAGATCACCATAATACTC